CTATATCATTAATGTCAAAATCCTGGGAAAACCTAACAATAATCTTCCTGAATGAGTATGAAGAAAAGAAGGGTTTAAACTAAGTAACTGTACTGTTACTTTTATTAGAAATTTTGACTTTTTGTTTCTGCCATATTTATTTTAATCATATCAAATAGCCACTCTTCTGTTGTTAATTATTCCTAATAGGATTGCTTATATCTTATTTAAAATATGAATCATGAAGAAATTTTGGAAAACCTATATCATAATGCAGAAGTCTATTTCTAACTAAATTACATGAATTTAATACTGCAAGAAGAATGACATGTTTTAAGTTGCTACAGGAGCACACATGTTCCTGTGCCTAAAACACTCCTCCCCTGCATGCAGTCTATCTTGACTCTTTCCTTCTGAACCTTCATAGCTCAGCAAAGATGGTGGATGACTATTCCAGGACATTTACACATTACTATCCTCTCTCTCCCATACTTCCTAGCTCTGATAACATGAACAAAACCAGAAGACCTGTCTTAAAGCTACATTTGCACAGCAAGCACACTTGTTTTGCAAACCAGTTGTACATTTGAGATGGCTTGATAGTCATGGGGGTAGGATGTTTCCGACGAAAGTCTCTCTTTTTTTCCCTCAGCTGTATCAGTACAGTCTAGCATGTTTCAGTGCTTTCTTTCCACAGCATTTCTACTACATCTCCACAGTGTGGAGTCAACACACTATATTGTTATTCATCTGGGCATTCGGAGTCTAGACTGTCGCTTAGAATTCTGTGGTAGAATTCAATAACTATTTTAATAAGATGGAATCATTGAAATAACACAAAATAACATGTTACATAATATCTTCACAAAGTAAATGTTCAAGGGCATAACATACCGTCTCCCTCACCTGAACAATTTATTGTATATTTGTACACTAAGGCAGATTAGCTGGAGTTCATTCCACAGCAGCAGTCACACTGTGACCATCTGGTCCAATAGTTGTAAATACCAACTTTGGCAGACTCTTCAGGGGTATAAGCATAGTTATGGGAATAACAGAAACTTGAAAAATACTACCACCCAAAGAATAGATTATCTGTTATCCATTATCTCCATTCCATTGGCCTTCTTAGGAGAACGTTTTAGTGTTTTTCACAAATGAAAAATATGCAGATAGTCTGAAATTCTATTTGAGCATTTGACCTCCATTTGCTTGTCACCTCTAAATAGACTCCCAACCTCAGGGAAGGGGAGAAATGTACTCATCAGAGAATCTATTGCCAATTTAAAACAGAAAAATCTTCTTACAATTAACATAAATAGACTGTGTCCTTTTAAAATGTCATAGCATTAAGTCATTTTAGGTACCTTTTTAAAACCCATTCAAAGGCAGAATGTTTCCAACAAGTGTATGAACTTAGGCCTATTTGCAAAGGCCACTAAAGTGAACTCTTCTTTTCAACATAGGAAATGATAGCTAGTCCTATAGAAACCACCAAAAAAAAATTCATTTTAAATCCAACCCTTTTATGCATTGGAAAATGACCTTTGTTTTAATATCTAGAATGCTTTTCAAAAGGAAGGCATTTCTGTAGTTGCCCATAGAATCATTAATTTGTGTCTGCTCTATTCAGTGGTGGCTTTAAAGAAAATAATGGGATTATCAAGCTGCTCAGAACAAAAGTACCTTCTGATTGTCAGTCCCATATTTTAAAAGAGCAGGTTAATTTCTCTGAATCTCACAGTTGGAACTTTCTAACACTAACTGGCAGTTTCCACCTAGTGATCAAGGCAATTGACTAAAATAAATTATATCTAAAGCTGAAACTCCTAATAGTAATGAGGCCCCTTCATGAGATAATCATACCAGCAAAAGCATTCATCTGTCAGCTGCAACTCTGCAAGGTCTTGAAATTGTCTTATAAAAGCTACACCTTCAGAAATGATTTTGTTTATAGTTTCATGACAGAGCTAACACAGCAGTGTTCACAGTACTAGGCACAAAGGAGGAGTTCCAAGTCAACTTGTTAGTTGACTTGCTGATGAACCTGGAGACACTGTTGATAGAACACCATGAATGCTGTTCAAAATGGAAAAAAAAAACCTGAGGTTCTTGTTTCAGTACAGGCAGCCCATCATTATTTAGAAGCCCTCAGTGTGTTCCCAGAGTTAGGCATAGAAAGGTAGTAGAAGGTTCAATCTCTGTTCTCCTACAGTCTACACTTAGTTGAACTCACATATGCAAAGTAAACAGAAAAGACAAACTCCATTGGACACCATACTACTAGCCATAAAGAAATTTCTACCAGAAATACATATTTAAGGAGGTACTACATTATAGAATTTGGACTAGGGCTAATGGTGGGTAGTAATTTTATTAGGCAGAAGAAAGTAAAGGCTTTGAGCTGGGCATGATGGTGTACATCTTTAATCCCAGCACTCTGGAGACAGAGGCAGCAGATCTCTGTGAGTTCAAGGCCAGCCTAGTCTACATAGTGAGCTCCAGACCAGCTGGGGCTACAGGGAGACCCTATCTCAAAAAGACCAAAAAGGAAGGAAGGAAGGAAGGAAGGAAGGAAGGAAGGAAGAAAGAAAGAAAGAAAGAAAGAAAGAAAGAAAGAAAGAAAGAAAGAAAGAAAGAAAGAAACGGGAGAGGGAGGGAGGGAAGGAAGGAAGGAAGGAAGGAAGGAAGGAAGGAAGGAAGGAAGGAAGGAAGGAAGGAAGGAAGGGGGAAAATAAAGGCTTTGTAAATGGATTTCTTAACTGAGCAAAAACCTTATAATTGGCAAGGAATCTAGTTCTAGGGAGGCAGTGATTCCTGTGATGAAACCATCCTGCACCTGTCTGATCAAGCCATTTGTTGTCCTGGCTGTCAAGAGTAGCTATGACTGAAAACTAATAACTGAGTTTCCCTTTCTGGATATCCCTTCAATGAAGACCTGTCCCAACTTTGGCAGTAGCTCACATACAATGCGTAGAGTACTCAGGATTATAGAATCCCATCCCTCCTAATAAGAATTCAAATAGCAACTTTGTCCATTTACATTTCTCTTTACTTATAAAATTTAGTGGAATTTGTCTAGATTTTATATTAATTTCCATGACACTAACTCCTACTCTGAATTTGCAGAGACTATAAAGAATAATATATCTATTAACTCCCCTAATTTGTAAATTGACCATCAGGGTGTCTAGGCACATGAGTTAACTCTAGCAGGTTACAAGTAACTGTCTATTAGCTACACTTAGTAGAAAGGGGCTACGCCATTTGTAATTCAAAGAAGGGATTTTTTTTTCTAAAGTGTTCACATAGTTACATTTTACAAAGGTGAGGGAAGTGATATACAGGCAAGGACCCTGCTTTCAGTGAGGGCACAGTCATGTGCAATAGTTAAAACAAGTACAAAAGAATAAAAAGCAAAGTTGTCAATAACCTAGAGGCATGTGGACTCCAGAAATGAAAGAATTGAGCCATAAACACATGTGGCATCATTTCCAATAGAGCATTACTTAAGCAGAAAGAGGCAGGTTGGTACGCTCATTTTTCTCTCTCCCCCCTCTCTTTCTAAACTCACCTACAGATAAATCATACCCATTCTTTTCTAAAAGATGGATATAATGAGTAAACTGCCACCTGAAAAAGTTATATTTCTTTATACTGTTAGATTACATCTAAGTAGATGTTCCCACACCAGGGACTGGCTGAATTAATACACACCACATACATCAGGCTAAAGATAAGACCATAGGCTTTCACAATAAGAGGCCATCATGGGAAGACAGGGTATGAGTTTCTGTACCTCATTCCTGTATTAAAAGTCTATCTGCAGAAGTCTGACACAACCACTTCTTTCTTTAAACTAGAAATGTACATTTTATGAGGGAAGACACTATGAAATGAACTCTGACATTAATTTCCTAGATTAGATAGCAGTCAGAAGCCTCCCACATCTCAGGAGATGGGTGCAACTAACTCATTCTTCGCATTCCCTCTCTCTGTCTCTGTGTGTCTCCTACTCTTCCTCTCTCTGTGTGTATATGTTTGTGTGTGTGTCACATCACACACACACACATGAGCACACACACACACATACACAAATATAAATTATACTCATGTTGAAGAACATGGTTGTAATAGTAAAGAATAAGTAATTCTTCAAAATTTTAGAATTCCATTTAAGAAGGGAGCATAGACATGAATCCTTTCTTGGAAAGGAATGTTTTATGTACCGTTATCGTTTTATACTCTGAATATTTGTTCAAAATCACCTGATTACAGAATTGATGAATGTTCTTTGAACATAAAACATAGTTCCATAAAACACCAGGAGGAGCCATGAACTACTTGCAGTATGGTGTGATGTGTTTCAATTTTTCCAGCCTGTTATTTGGTTTTTACAAATTTTAGGATAAAGAAAAAGGGAATTAATTTCATTTGAAGTGAGTAAAACTGAAAGTGCAAGCTCTCATACCTGAATGCATTTATGCTATTAGGATTTCAGAATTTTTCAACAATAAACAGAATTTAGCAGAACAAAAATGTAAGTCTTTTCCCCACAAAACCCTAAATACAGACTATTAGATGTAATCTTCTTTGAAATAAGAAAAAACTGAGGTGGATTGATTCTCATAAAAAAATGATTGAGACATACAAAGCTTTTTAATAAAGCGATATTTTCTAAGAGTCTCTCCACGCTATTCAGTGCAGTCTCAAAGAAACTCATCTTGGTCTCATTTCCAGAGCCACTGAATTATAGATCAATTCTGCTGGATGTTAAAGTATAAATGGTCTTTTTTTCAAAAGCTGAATTAGATGATATTTAAAAAAGAAACAAACAAAAACCAAAACCTGGTATCACTTGGTGATAGCTTCACGAAGAAACCACTGAAAAAATGCCACGGACCCGAAAGTCCTCAGACTCCATTGTTACAACCATCCTCTTGAGGAAATCACAGTGTATAACAGCAACCCATTCATCTTTGTTTGAAAGCTTACTAATATCTCTTTATTGGTTTTCATAGCAAGAGAAACTGGGTGACATCTGCTTCTCCCTCCGCTATGTCCCTACTGCCGGCAAGCTGACTGTTGTGATTCTGGAGGCTAAGAACCTGAAGAAGATGGATGTGGGTGGCTTATCTGGTAAGGCCACAGTGATTATTGATTTTGTAAATGTGGTTTCATGTGGATACAGAATGCATAGCACACTCATTGCAACTCCCCGCCCCTTAATTGATCACACTTCTCTTTCCTATGGAGCTGGAGGCAGTCTCAACACTCATCCAGTGCAGTGTCCTGGAAAGCCACTCTCAGTTTATTAGAATTGGCAAAGAATACAAAATCTATTTTCCTTCTCCATAGCCAAAGTATCGATTGTCATATCTATGCCTTTGAAAGTTGAAATTTTGTCTTCTCTTTTGAAAGGGAATGCCTATGACAGATATAGTCTTGAGGGTTTTAATTCACCTTTGATATTGAAAATAGTGCTTTACCTGATCTGCTAACAGGACAGAAATTTTATAATACCATTTGTATGAAAGACAACGTTTCAAAACTGTGCAAGTATCCCTGTCATTTAATTCTATAGTTTATAGTGGGGATAGGGAAGAAAAACTTTTGGGTTGGCAGTTTTGTGCAACCCACGCACAACACAACATAGTGAGGAAACTTCTACTGAACAAAGTCAGCCCAAGGACTTGACTCTTCCATGACTGAACATGACTTTTCCTCTGCTGTGCGATTAAATCAATTATATTCTTAATGTTCCAGTAAATCATTAAACTGTGAGGAATTTTCCTGATATGTCACAAGGTCATCACAAACAGACTACAAGTGTCATTGTTTCTAGCTATGGAATTACAACACACATTACTCGTTAATTAGTGCTTTTCTGATTTAAGGGAAGAATATTCCAAGTGTCAAAGGTCACACTTATACACCACGACATCTTTATATGGAGAAATGTAACAGCTAAAAATTGTTAAAGCTGAGTTCTACTTAGTGACCCAGTAATTTAGCCAAATTCTCCTGCTACCTATGTTTATTTATAATAAAGGCACCCGGGGAAGCCCTACTAACTCCTTCATGTCACTAAGACCCATTTAATAATGCCCTGCTTTCATTGCTAAGAACATAACAGGGAAAATTCAAAGCAATAAACATAGTTTCTAAAAATATAAAGAATACTGAATGTGCCTATATGGAAAATTTATACAGAGAAAAGCATTAATGATTTCACAATTATTGTTCACTCCTAAATCATTAATTAGTATCTTGAGGAAACTTAAGATACCCTTGACCTTGACATTCATATTCATGCCATGCCCCATTAAGAATGTATCTGTATGGATGCTGGAGAGATGGCTCAGCATTTAAGAGCACTGGCTGCTCTTGCAGAGGACCCAGGTTGATTCCCAGCACCCACATGGTGACTAACAACCATCTGTAACTCCAGTTCCAGGGCATCCAACTCCCTCTTCTGACTTCTGTTGGCATTGTACCACACAGGTGCACTTACATACATGCAGCCAATACACTTATAGAGAAAAAATAAAAATAGCATATTTTTAAAAGGCGTGTATCTGTGTGCACTCACATCTGCCCCATGCCAACAATCTCCTCACCTATGTCCAGTGCTGCCCTCATCTCCCTCTTAATCCTTCAGCAGAGCCCCACAGCTGAGCAGCTTTACCATGAAGCTAGTAAAGCCTCCAGGACCTTCTTCCTTGTTCTGGCCTGTTTTCAAGACCTTAGACATGACTTTCCACCATCACAAATAGCTACTTCAGGGGGGTGGAGAGATGGCTCAGCAGTTAAGAACACTGGTTGTTCTTGCAGAAGACCCGGTTAAGAACACTGGTTGTTCTTGCAGAAGACCTGGGTTGGAATCCCAGCACCCACATGGCAGCTAACAACTGTCTGTAACTCCAGTTCCAGGGGATCTGAGGGCCTCTTCTGTCCTCTGCGGACATTGCACAACACAGGTGCACTTACCTACATGCAGGCAATACACGCATACACATAAAATAAAAATAATAAATAAAATATTTTTTAAAAAAACAAATAAGCTACTTCAACCACTGTTATTCAGTTTGCTTTCTCTTTCTGCTCTGACTTCTTCACCCCCCTATCCCCTCTCACTCGGTGACAAGCAGATGGGCTACAGGTATCTTCAGGACTTGCACAAGGAAACAAGTTGTAGCAGGATATATCTCAGTAGCTTACAGACACAAGCATATACATGAGCTTACTGTTAGCCATACCAGCAAAGAAACAGCACTGAGGATGACTCCTGCTGCCAATCATATTAACTCAGCATTGTGACATGAAAGGCATAAGGCCAGAAGTCAAATCTAATTCAGTATTCATCATTTTATAGTCTTTTTTTCTAAAGAACAGCAACAAAATCATAGGAGCTTCAGAACCCACACAACCTAGATCCACCCCCACATTTGAATTACCTGAAATGATTATAATCATTAACAAGCCCTAATTGTAAGGGCTTCCTGCTGCCTGTGGAATTAAATCATAATTATTCTAATCACCTAATGCAGATACTTTCAGGCTATGCCATAGCGCATCTCAGTTTAGCCAATGGACTAGCACATTCTCCTAACAAGCTATGTACCTTGCTGCCTCCATCCTTTGCTTAGGTGATTTCCTCCACCTAGAATTCCTTTTCTTCTAACAATATCTAGCCAAACCCTACTCATTCTTCAGACGTAGCTCAACTCTTATTCCTTCCAATTACTCAGCAAATACCGGTTTGGGTTCTGCTTTGTTTGAGTCCAGCATCATGCTGAGTACTGGGTTCAGGTTAGTGGATAAAACAATCCAAAGACCCCACCCACCTAAAGCTTGTACTTCAGTGTGGAGAGACAGATAGGAAGTCAATAAAGTATTCAGTGAGTGCCCTTAGTAGACGTGAAACAAGAGAGTCCGATAAGGGATATTGGTGAGTAGTTTTTAATGGGAGGAACAGGAAAGGTGCTATGAGTAGATGACATTCCGGGTGACAACTTGGCAGAAGGGAGGAAATGAGCCATGGGTTCACATGGGGAAAGAGAAGGTTTTAGGTGGTGTGACTCTGATGCTTTTCTGGTCCATCTCAGCAGAACAAATCTTTGTCTTTTTAAAATGCCACTGGCAGTTTGTTTACACCCCTCTAACACCACCTTCTTTCTCACTCAACTGTTCTGTATTTATGTCTCCTACAAGGCTCTCACTGATGGGTGGCACTGAGCTTAGCAGCTGAATGAATAATGAATTATTTACAAAAGAGCTACAGCCTGAAAAACAAGTCTTGCATTCCAAATTTGCTTAACCTACTTACCATTAAAACAACTTTTAGGTACTTGGATGGTTTGTCTTAAAGTAAGCTGACCTATGTACAAAGAGACCAAAATTATATAAGATCATTCCAGGTGATTCAAATGCCAAACTACATTTGCTTGAAATGGTTTGTTAACTGGAACCAAAGTGGGCTCTTTTCCAGTTTGCCACTACAAGAACTAAGCAAGCACTCTATCACAAAGCTACATCCTCAGCACACAAATTGACACTGGACAAATTATTTTGTTCTTCTATGCCTCAGTCTATAAAGTAGAAGTAATAAGAGGATCCTGATAATGATTTATTAAGAGAAATAAGTAAGAACCAGGCAAAATTAAATACTCCCTAGGTATTACTGTAGATACTGCTATGAGAAGTTTTATTAGATCTTGGGATAAATATTCAAACTGTGAAACCAGCCAATGAATCATTAACCAGCTACTTGTTTTTGGTGGTGGAAAGATTCAGCTATTGGTAAACCTGTCAGAACAGTTCAGGCTGATCAGGAAGTCCAGGTTCTGCACAAAATCAACAGTGAATTCAGACAAGGAACTGACTGATAAAACATGGTAGAGAAAAGACGGGAAAAATTTTTAAATATTTTTCTTATTTTTCTTGCTAGTCCCTGGTAGGATCAGTCATTTTATCCTTCTTACTGTGTCCATTCAAAATGCACAGCATAAAGATTGTGCCCATATCATCGTTTCACCTAGTGAGTGGTGAAAGTCCCAGCCCTTTATCCTTGCAATGACAAGTATAATTGGACTGTTCATATCTCTGCAGTAGATTATTATGTTTGCATTCTTAGTAGCATAACTCCCAACTACTTGCGAACAGTCAGGGGGATATCTAAATGTAACTATTTGTATGAAGATCTGGAATCATGCAGGCTGCAAGACTGCTCAGGGGCAAGTTAGTGCAGTGGGACTGGACCTGAGTTTCTGCCTGGTACTTAGAGAAAAATCAAGACTTCTTCCTAGTAAACAACATCTAGTATTGCATTCTTAACACTGCTTTTTATACATCTGTATATTAAGAATCAATCTCCTTTTACTGGTTTTTGTTTGTGCAAATTGCAAAAAGAGAATTAAGAGGTCTGAAAAAGTGAAGGCACTGCAAATGTTCAGCTCATCCTTTTGAGCTATAGCTACAGTTTAACATTCAAATCTGCACCTGTATAAACTCTAAACTCAGAGTCATCATTCAATTTCTTATCCTTATTTATGTCACAACAGTTACTTTGCTCCAAAGTTTTCTGAGTTGTTTGTTGGCTGTTTTGTTTAGTGACTCTTTTTTTTTTTT